GTGTGTGTGTGTGTGTGTGTGTGTGTGTGTGTGTGTGTGTTTAATCAGCAGATAGATGGGTGGATGATCAGGTAAATAAATTGTAAGGTAAATTAATTAGCGGAATAAAATACTTTTGTACTATTTTGGCAACATTATAATGTTTATAATCTAGATTTTTATTATAGATTGCATTAGTGAAAACAATTTGCCTTGATAATGTTCAATTACTTGTTTAATAAACAACTTGAAATTAACACTGATGACTTCTATTATTATTATTTTTTACATTTCCCTGATTTATTTCTTTAAGTACTTTTAAATAATCCACTATTTGAAATTACAAATATTATTGTAAAATGCGAAACGCTTCAATGAAATGTTTATGTGAAAAATAAAAATATGTACGCCGTGATTTCGTCCAGATTATTTTTTAAATTAAAATGTTTTGTGCTTTTATTTTTGTACTTCCGGTGTGTGACCCGGAAACGAAACGATTTGAGACAGACAAGATTTCTCGAAGAGTAGCAGGTCTTCAGCCGAACAGCGGCTGATTTCACGGTTATCTACCACAACAACCAGCTGTAAATTCTAGGTTTGTACCTTTTTATATTGTTATAACGTGTGGAGGTGTTAAATACCACCTAGTTACGGTTTTCAGGCAGCTAGCTTCCTAACCAGAGCTCGTCTGTTTGTAGCTTAGCATGCTAACAAACCGATGATGAAAGCCTGTCGCTTTTTGACGGTCTAGTATTTCTCCGTTACTATTTAAAGCAACCGAAATCCTAAATTTCATTCACATTAATTTAAACTGTGTTAACATCTGGACTGTAGACTTAAACTTTCACCATAATAAGTTATTTTTAACACGTCTAGTTTGTTTCTTGATATTTAGCAATTAGCTATTGTCACTAAGAGCTAGAAGTCCAAATATAATAAGGGGTTAGACAAACAGTTAAAAGATTGATTCCATAGTTACTTAACTTAAAAAAAGTTTTAGTAATGATAGCAGTAAATAAATATTATTGATCTGATACTTTAGATGTAAACGAAGAGTACTGGTAGTTGTAATAATAATAATAATAATAACTAGACATGGGTTTTTACYATGTAAAAACAAGTGTGCATAGCCATGTAGCATGTCATTGCAGCATGGCTTTGCCTGCAGCAGTGGACTTGCAGAATGAACTTTGACCAAGTTCAAATGTGTTTGCTATACCAGCTTGTGCCTGTCACGTCAGCAGGCGATTTTAATTAAGGTAATTGTGTGACAATATGAAGTTGGAGATTTTTTGTTAAAGTTGCATTAGGTGGATTTTGAACCCTGATCTCCCACATGAAAGTCCATGACATAGACCATTAGACCAATGGAGCTGTGGCAGAAGGTGGTGGCAGGGGTTGGTTTGTATGTGTGCAGAAAGAGGCCACATTGCCAATACAATTATTGACACAAAAATGCATAACATTACAACAATGGAGCAGTATTAAGACAATTTTGTAGTAAAATATCAAAATACAATCATATTAGTAT